CAGGAGTAGGCAGTGAGCACAGCCAGGTGTGGCCCCAAAACAAAACAAAAACGAGAACTAGGTCATCAGTCCAAGAAGTTTTTCCGCTCATGACCAATTCAGGCACAGCGGATGAAGGGACCAGAAGGATGGCACAGGGGTTGAGGCGCCTGACTTGTGTTTGGCCGCCCAGGTTTGAATCTCTGGCACCACATAATGGTCTGGGACACAGAGCCAGGAACAGAACCTCTAGCACTGCCAGGTGTGCTGCCCCCTCCACCACCAGCACCAAAGAAAGTCCCTGTAAACACTGACAATAAAACCGCAGGGGACTGGGAGTGTAGCTCAGAGGCAGAGAGAACACCCCGTGCCCGGGGTCCTGAGTTCCAGTCTGCTACCACAGCACAAACAACGAACGGAGACTGCTCTGTACCAGCCACACCATTTTTTCCTGTATCTCTAAAACTATTCTAAAACAAAAAGTTGAAGAAAGAGATCAAAAGTTCAGGACCAGACAGCTTCTTTGGAGAACTCACTATTCAGAAAAAGATTTAATACCAATCTGCTCAAATTCTTACACAAAGTTCAAGACAAGGGAACCACTCAAAATTCTTTATGAGCACTATACTCTGATACTAAAAACAGATACAGATGATTTAAGGAAAGGAAAACTACAGGCCAACATCCTTGATAAATAAAAAAATCCCCAACCAAATACTGACAGACAGAATTCACAATATACTAGAAGAATCATATAGGATTATTCTAGGCCTAGAACAGTTAAACAGCCACAAATCAACCAATTTAATACACCACATCTACGGGAGGCTAAAAAAAAAAAATCATGATTATCTCAATTTGAAAAAGCATTTAACAAAGTTCAACACCCAATTTGTGTAAACTCAAATAAGGGCACAGCAGCGGTGACTCTATCTCTCCCGCCGCCCGCGTTCGGTAGTCTCGGGGCCACTTCCCCACGCCGGGGAGGTTGATGGCGATGGGCAGGCAAAGGAAGGAACAAGGACCAGGCTGGTTGGTCTTAGTTGTAGTTTATTCCATTCCCATCTCCATTCTCTGATTCTCCTCCTGCTTCTTCCTCCCCCATGCTACTTCATTCTCCTTCTCAATCCCCCTTCATCCTCCTTCTCTGGAGTCTCGATTCTGATTCTGCTCTCTCAGCCCACTCTTACAGTCTAGTTAAATCCCAAAGCATGAGGGGTTGGGGCAATAATTACACATAGGTGTGGTCACAATCAATAGGGGTAGAATTCTTTCCCTTGGGGAAAGCCGCTTCTAGGACAGGTTGTCACTATCAGATCAATCCACCCTAGAGCGGAATCCCCTGGGTGTGTTTCTCCTCTCCTTGTCTAACAAACATATAAGCATATATAACATAAATCATTTTGTATGGATATAGTAAGAAATACCTTAAACTTATAGAATTGCCCTCCTAGAGCCATCTCGATTTCAGACTACAGTGCTCAGGCCAGATAGTCTTTCCCACCCCTAGCAGGGTCCTACTCTCGTCGTTACTTTTGGATCATGACAGCATTTTCTATGATCAAGCTCTTAACTTACAGTTAAGAATTGTGGCACTTTGGCCTGGCCCATTTCGATGCCAGGGGAGCTCACTGCTTGCCCTGGGTCTATTCAGTCCCTCGTTGGAACCCTGCTTTTAGGGTGTTAGGAACCAAGGGCAACTGAGGCTTAAGTCAAGAAAGCAGATGCCCAGGAGTGAATATTCAAAGCCAATTAAATCCTAAATTACAAAGCATAATGTTAACAGTCTTCCTGTATCTATACAAAAAGGGCACTGCTTTAAAGTAAACTATTCAAAAGACATAAAAAGAGGAGAAAGGCAATATTAACTTACAATACAATTTCAGTGTCCTAGAAGGATCTGACCTTACAAATGAACAGATACTGATTAGGGGGGAAAAGCTGATTAACTGGTTAAGGAAAGAGAGCACAGAGAAGTGGTTACAGATAAACGGAAGGAATGGGAGTGACTTCGGAGCACTGTGTTGGGTGTAACCTGATAAACCTAAGCTCCTTGTAGAGAAAGGGAGAAAGGACAAAGCAATGTTATCCTACACCAGTTAAAAAAAAAAACAAAACTCCACAATGTATTAAGGGAAGGTATCTCAATAAAGCGAAGAACAGCAAACACAACTCAACATCATTCTCAGTGAGAAGACAAGACCTCTACAAATGCAGTTATTTCACTGGGCATTCAAGAAGTTCCCCCCATCTTATGTTTTATTTAGAGACAAAAGTATTTTACCAAAATACTACCATCTTAAAATCAGTTCAAGAGCCAGATAAGAGAGTGGGAAGGGTGCTCGCCATGAAGGTGGCTGGCCCAGGTTTGATTCCAGCATCCGGCACCCCATGGTCCTCTGAGCATCACCCAGGAGTGATTCCAGAGCACAGAGCCAAGTGTAACCCCTGAGCATCTCTGGGTATGGCCCCAAACAAAACAAAATATAAATTTATTCACAACTTGTGACTTAACACAAGACTTCATGAGCCTACTGGTCATCTTTGTTTTGGGGCGATGCTCAAGGCTGACTCCTGACTCTGCATTCAGGAATCACTTCTGGCAGTGCTCAGGGGACCATATGGGGGTGTTGGGGATCAAATCCAGGTGGGCCATGTGCAAGGCAAGCTGTACTGTCTCTGGTAATCTTTTTATTTTTATTATTATTATTATTTTGCTCTTTTGGGTCACAGGGGTCACTCCTGGCTCATGCACTCAGAAATTACTCCTGGAGGTGCTCAGGGGACCATATGGGACGCTAGAAATCGAACCCAGGTCGGCCATGTGCAAGGCAAATGCCCTACCCACTGTGCTATCACTCCAGCCCCATGTCTCTGGTAATCTTGAGGGATTAAGATTTTGCACCTACGGCTGGAAAGACAGTACAGGACTAATGCGCTCTGCCTTGCATGCAGACAGCAGACTCTGCCTTGTCCCTTCACAGAGCTGAAGAAGTCCTGGGGTACTGCAAGGTGTGACCCCAAACCAGCCCCTGACCAAAACAATGCTTTAAAAAATTTTTTACCTAAGGAACACTCAAAGAACACACAATTAAGACTGACTCACTAAGCTTCCCTTTCCAGTCTCACCCAGCCTCTCATTCCCATCTCCTCCTGTCCCCCTTGCTAGTCTCCCTGTCCTGGTCTCTCTTGTCTCTCACACCCTCCAAACCTTGGCTGTGGCAACCACACCCAGATCCCATAGCACAATCAACATAACAAAGCCCTTCCTGAACCCCTACAGACAGGAGATCCTTGGTGGTGGTGGTGGTGAGGGTGGGGTGGGGATACAATTTAGGATGTATTTCTCCTTTCCTAACTCCAACAATCATTTAGACATTCATCTTAATTTTACTTCTTAATAATATTAGTCATTTTGTATGGGCACAATAAGAGATACATTAAGCTTATAGAATGGCTCTCCTGGGGGCATCTCACTATAGATCTCAGACTACAGTGCTCAGGTCACATTACTCTTTCCTAACCCTAGCAGGGTCCTAATCCAGTCGTTACCTTTTGGATCATGACAGAATTTGTCCATGACCATGCTCTTAACTTATAAGTCCAGTCCTCATCAGGACCCTGCTTTTGGGGTGCTAGGAACTAAGGGCAACTGAGGTTTAAGTAGAGAGAACAGATGTCCAGGAGTGAATATTATTCGTAGTCAATTAACTTCCCAAGTTACAAAAGCATAGCATTAACTGTCTTCCTGTGCCCATGCGAAGAAAAGGACATTGCTCTGAAGTAATTATGCAAAGGATTTAAGAAGAGAAAAGTAATACTTACATGTTAACAGAGTCTGATGAGGGGATACAGGTGATTGACAGGTTGGGGAAGCAGAGCACAAGAAAGAGGTTACAAATAAACACAGGAATGGGAGCACTGTGGTGGGAGTAACCCAATAAACCTAAGCTCCCTGTGGCAAGGCAGAAAGAACAGACTAATGTTATCCTATAACTGACCACTGAAGATTCATGTTTTTTTTCATTTAAATCACAGAGAGGGAAAAAAAATTTCTTTTATAAACTGGATTTAAAGGCACCTTTCCTCCATTAACAGAACGTGCAAGAAACTCTGATTATCTCGAGGGCCCAGAGAGATAGGACAGGGAGTAAGGCACTTTTTTTCTTGCACACAGCAGACCCCAGCTCCACCCTCAGTACTGCCCTTGGTCCCCCAAGCACCACCAGGAGCGATCCCTGAGTACAGAGCCAGGAATCCCTAAGCACTGCCAGGTGTGGTCCCGAAATCCCCCAAATTAAAAAATAAATGACCTCTAGCATCAATCAGCTAGCCCATGACCTTAAGAGCTCTGAGGGGGCTGCCACTACAAACACGCGAACTGAACCTAATTCAAACACAGAACCACTCTTTCCAGATGTATATTATATAATCAATTGCTTTGATCTTTGACTTTTTAAGTTTGCTTTCGGTCCTACATAAAATATGCTACAGAGGTCCAGGAAATTATGTGATTTAAACAAAATATAGGCCCCAACCCCTAAGTCTGGCCTACTCCCAGGTAAAAGGGGTTTGGGTAGTATTCCGTTACATTTTTCCTTCTCACTTAAAAAGAAAATGTACCTAGAGGCGCCCAAGAGAGTGCAGTGAGCTGGAGCTGTGGCTCGATCCCCTCAATCCTCTCAGCTCTGCCAGGAATGACCCGTAAGCTCAGAGACACTGAATCCCTGAATCCCTGACAGTACCCTCACCACACCCCCCACTCCCACAAAAATAAAAGGTAAGGAATTGCGTTTGGGTCAGGGATTCTACAGGGGCTGCAGTCATGCTTTGTATCCATGAGGCTAGGTTCTATCTTTAGGAACGCATGGTCCGCCCACAGTACCACTGGGCAGTATAGTGCTGTTGGCCCCTGATCAGTGCTGGGGAGGGCCAAACCCCCCCACCCCCACCACCCCTACCCCAACTGCCTATCCATGCTGGGGTTAAAAAAAAAAGAAATAGAATGCATGTTTAAATAGAGCTTTATTTTTTATTTATTTATTGTCTTTTTGGGTCACACCCGGTGATGCTCAGGAATCATTCCTGAGTTCTCAGGGGACCGTATGGGACGCCGGAAATCGAACCCAGGTCAGCCACGTGCAAGGCAAACGCCTTACCTGCTGTCCTATCACTCCGGCCCTAAACAGAGTTTTAAAATGTGAACATAGCCCTTAATGACAGAAGAAGTAGAAGCTCTAATCTAATCATACGACAATTTTTAAATTCTCTTTATTTTTAAGGTGAAGCATCCCCATTAACAATCCAGAAGCAGTCCTTGGAAGTAACCCTTTGGATACACGCACACATCTTCAAACCCATTCCCCAGTTCTCAACGAGAGGCAGGAAAAAAGAACACGTTCACAGTCGCAGCTGAAGCCTCGGTCCTCTTTCTCCAAAAATCTTACTTCACTTACCAAACCATAAGAAAAGACAATTTTTTTTTTCAAAAAGCCAACAAAACCTAGACACAGGGATCGAGGTGTCACGCTAAAATCACCCCCACCCCCGAAACTGCTGCTGGGAAAAAAGAGGGGCAGGGGAGGGGAGCAGGCAGGAAGCCAAGCCCACCCCTGTTCAGTCCAGACGACTTTCACAGAGAATTCAGGGGGGCAGGACGGGAGCCACAAGAGTGTGCAATTCAAAACGTAGATGGTTTTTAAAAGTTCGACTTGTTCTATGTGGCTTCTCCTAGCCCAGCCGAGGAAATCGCTATGGGCTGCTTAGAGTTAACACAAAAATTGTCCTGACCAAAAAGAAAGCAGAGCAAGTGGGGAGAGAGAACAGAAGGCAGAAGGACCAGGGCAGGAGGCCCCCTGCACTGCCCAGGGAGGCGAGTAAGGCGGAAGACTCTACTGAGCCGCTATCAGGAAACTATAGAGATTTGGATCAAGAATAATGGACTAGTAAATAGTAGGAGACCCACATTATGAATACTTTTGAGATATCTGGGGAAAAAAAAAAAGAAAAAAATTTCTATTCTGAGAAGCAGTAGATGAAAACGATGTTGGGTCACCCAATCAGTTAGAGTAATGGGTTTCGTCCAAAGACAACTTCGCAGAAATTTAGGTAGGAAGGAATTGAAGAGAGTGAAAAATGAGATCTGGCTGTCAGACAATTTTAATAATGCTTCTACCCTCCCCAGCAGCAAAAAGGGGGTTCCCAACGAATGTCCTAGAGGGTTTCTTTCAGAGATAAAAAGGTCTGTAAGTTCAACTCTTGATCCCTCTCTCTCCTGACATAAAGCTTGGGGAATAAAATAAATATTGAATTTTTAACTATTCAGAGCTTCTGAATTATTAATATTTGTCTAGTTTTCATGTTCTAAACCTTTGGCTTAATTTTTTCAACTGTAATACACTGAAAAATGTCTGAATGTGCCTTAATCAGTAGTACCACATGAAAATACAAACATTGTTTTCCCACAGCATCAACATAGGAAGGATGAATGGATGGTACCCCCTAAGCAGCCTGCAGTTACTTGGTATCCTTGACCAAAGGTTAGGGCAAACCCGGCCTCTCTGTATGGCGAGCAGCAGGAGTTTACTAGTCTTCAATCTCATCTTCCCAAACATCTCCATTAACATCCACAGCTTGAAATAACCTGGAAATGTAAGGTACACGTTTTTAAGCACTTGGAAGAAAGTTAATATACTTTCACTGATTTGGGTCCACACCTGGCAATGCTCGGGGCTACTTCTGGTTCTGCACTCAGGAATTACACCTGGTGGTGCTCAGGGAAACCATATGGAATGCCGGGGATAGAACCCAGGTCAGTGTCCTGCAAGACAAATGCCCTACCCACTGTATTATCATTCCAGCCCCATAAAACATTTTTTTTTTCAAATAGCTCTTCTATGACGCAAAATGGCACACTTGCCTTGTCTGTGTGAGGACCTGGGCTTGATCCCCAGCACCACCACCAAAAAAAAAAATAATAATAATGATAATAATCATAACTCTTTCAGGGTTGGGGAGAGAGCTCAAAGAGCCGGGGTGCACGCCAAGCGCCTGAGTTCCCCGCCTAGCCCCCACATCCCCCGCAGGCACTGCCCTGTAGCCCCAGCATGGCCTGAGAAGCACCACCACAGGGCTCAAATACCGAACCGTCAGCTCCACATCAAAGAGAGTGGGCCTGCACTCTCTGAGCACTTCTGGGGAGTCCCCCACCACCCCCACCCTGATCAAGGATGGCTCTTTAAAGCCAGAGACAGACAATAATGAAAAATAATGAAAAGTATGTGCCAACAAAATGTGTGAAACAGAGGGCAGGGTACGGCTCACAGGGCTGAATCAGGCTGGTGGCCAAAACTCCAACCCTCCAAGCCCCAAGCAACCCACAGCACTAGTGGGTGAGGCCCCAGACCTGAAAGACAGCCCAGCACACCCCAGGAGTGATACCCCTCTCCCACGCATAGCTGAGAAGAGCCCTGAGCACTGCTGTGGGTGGTTGCAGAAGATTAACTCTCCCAAGACAAGAGCACTATTCCTTGCTAACCCTGCCACTCGGCATCTTTAAGGGACTTGGCACTTCATCTGGAGGCTTTATGTTGCCAATTTGACTTCCTCGTGTTTCCTAAAACTTGGACAGTTTTGGACACGAGATTTCCAAGAGCTTATGGGGAGAGCTCACTGCTTCACTGTCCTCGCTGGACCGCATCCCCACTGAGGGCACCCTGTGGTCATCCACGAGTGACAGAGGCCAGCTAGGGCCAAGTTCAGGGCTGCTGGAGAAGGGAACCAGCACATCTGTGCCAAAGAATCACGTCACAAACTACTAATCACTAAAAAGAAAACTTACTTCTAGCATGCAACTCCCCACGACAGACTGACTATCGTACCAACATGAGATAGCCTGACATTATGGAGCTGATGTGACATAACATGAAGTACATGTCGCCCCCTCAGAAGTGGTGACAAAAACGTTACTCTACATCTAGTAGAACTTCAGTCTAGATCGAACTTTGTTTTACAGGAAACAGAGGATAGAGAAACAAGCTAAAAGAAACCACGGAGGAAGGAAACTCTGCAGTGAGACATTACATGGGAAAACTGGTCTTCCAGTTTAAAAAACACAGAGAGGGCAAAACTTTTCTGAGTTAAGAGACTAAAGACACAGATCCAAATATAGTAAGTGAACGTCATTAGTGCCTGGCTCAGTCGAAACAGTCTTAAAAGGAATTTTTAGGAATAACTGTAAGTTTTAAATGGCTCTTAGTATGTTATTAGCACATAATATGCCACAAATTTACGTTACACAGATATTTTTCTTAAAATACAGGGTTTTTTGTTTGTTTTTGAGGTTACACCCAGCAATGCTCAGGGGTTAGTCCTTGGTTCATGCACTCAGGATTTACTCCTGGCAGTGCTTGGTGGACCATATAGGATGCTGGGAATCGAACCTGGGTCGGCCACATGCAAGGCAAACGCCCTACCTGCTGTGCTACTGCTCCAGCCCCTTAACATATAGTTTTCCTGATACACAGATAATTTTCTTATCTTGGGGATCCACATGTGGAAATCAGGAGATATGAAGCATCCTATTTCCAATTTAGGATTCACTAGTATAGGAGAAAAAAAGCAACTACTGCTGAGTACGATCAAACTGTTAATCTGTGGGGCAATTATATTACTCAAAGTCCTATTCTTTTAATTTTTTTATGTTTAAAGGCTAGTGCAATAGTATAGCAGGCAGGGTGCTTGCCTTACGTGGGGTCATCCTGGGTTTGATCCCCGACATCCCACATGGTCCTCTGAGCCCAGCCAGGAGTGATCCCTGAGCACAGAGGCAGGAGTAGGCCCTGAGCACCGCTAGGTGTGGCCCCAAACCAAAAACAGAATTTTCCAGCGTGCAAAGCTGAGGCACTGGGGCCAGAGAGAGACTCCAGAGGTGAAGGCGCTGCCGTGCTTGCAGGTGGCTCTGGCTCCATCTCCAAGCACAGCCAGGAGCGATACCTGAGCACCTCGGTGAGAGCACCCCCACGCACCGCCAGGTGGTGGCCCCCAAAAACCAAGCTGGGGTCAAAGCAGTAGCCCAAAGGGCCTGTGTGCATGTTTCACGTGCTGAAGGCCCAGGCTCAATCCCCAGCCCAGCGTGGCGCACCGAGCACTATGCCAAGGGCAGCCTCCAAGCACCACCGTGGCTGTAGCCCTAGAGCAGTACCAAAACCATTCCCGAACAGCACTTTCCCAAGAGAAGATCATGCAAATGAACACCCCCAGAGGGGAAGAGAACTCTCAGGGCAGAAAGGACGCTGCTTCCACTCACCGGTTGTAACAGGGGGATGCGGTGTCATTGAAGTGCTGGTAGGGGTTCGCCCGAGACAGGGAGCGCATACAGACCCAGCAGAAGTACTGCATGCAGCCAGTGCACGTCATCTTGTTGCAGCCATCTAATTTCTGGGGTGACAGCAGGGAAGACAGGACTAAGCAGACTGTGACAAAAGGCGGACCCAGGCCAGCACGGCTCAGAACAACAGGCCGGAGACACACCGGCCAAGCCTGTGACCAGCATCAGACGCCCACCCACAGGACATGCAACATCCAGCCGGCATCCCTGCCACGGAGGATTCTGGGAAATCTCTCCTGGTAAATGGTAGATACGAACCAAATGTGGGTCGTGTGTGTGTGTAACTTGTCGATATTTAAATGCAGAGACTTCAAGACAGGATTTTTAATTTTTTACATAAAATATTCATTCATCATCCTGTTATTTGTCGATTGCCGCGAGCAGGCCCCAGTAACGTCTCTTTCATCCTAGCCCTGAGATTATATTCAAGGCTGTTTAGGAGAGTGAGACCCATCATTGTTACTGGTATTTGGCATATTTGGTGCGCCACGGGGAGTTTGCCAGACTCTGCCCTGTGGGCAGGCTATATTCGATATTCACATAAAATAAGTGAATGTAAGTCAACCTCTGGTTAGCGAGCCCCTCCCTTCATAGGCCAAGGCAGTCTGGGGGGCAGGGGCTGTCTGCCTTGCACATGGCCATCCCCGGTTCCTCCAGCACCACCAGGAGTAATTCCTGAGTACAGAGCCAGAAGTAACCCCTGAGCATCACCAGGTATGACCCTTACTTCTCTTCCCACTCCACAAAGAAAAAAAAAAGTGGTTAAAAAGAATGCCTGCTTCTACAATGGAGTCACTGGGGAATCATCGCCGGGCTCAGATCAGATAAAAAGAAACAGAACAGAATCAAATGCAAAAATATTCACATTTATATATAGCCTACATTTATATTTATCTCCAGATGGTCCCCTGGCACCCAACCCAGGAGTAAGCTGGGAGCACAGCTGGCTGTGACCCCAAAACCAAACAAAGCATCCTGGATACATAGCATTGGAGGACCAGGGGCGCGGCTCTATGAGGCCCTGGGCTCCAGAGGGGACAACACACACGGCCTGTGATTTTCATTTAAATCATGGTTAAGAGTCAGTGAGAAGGGCCGGAAAGATAGTACAGAGGGTTAGACATTTGCCTTTCACACGGTGGACATCAGTTCAAGTCTGGTACTGCATATGTCCCCCACACCCCACCCCACCCCCTGCCAGAAGTGATCCCTGAGCAGAGGGCCAGGAATAAACCCTCAGCAGGGTTGTAGCCCCCTAAAAAATAAAGGAGAAGAAAAAGTTACCAAGCGAAGAGACAAGTGTAGCTCTAATAGGGGCTCTTCATAAACTATTCAAATTTGAGGCAGATAAAAATGGGAGAAGAGCTGTCCCCCTGCCTGGAGCCATAGAACAGCAGGGAGGGCATTTGCCTTGCACGCAGCCGACCTGGGTTCGATTCCTGGCATCCCATAAGGTCCCCTAAGCACCACCAGGAATGATTCCTGAGTGCAGAGCCAGGAGTAACCCCTGAACACCACTAGATGTGGTCCAGAAACCAAAACAATCAAATAAAAACAAAACAAAACCAAAAAAAACAGCTGTCCGTGTATGAAAACACTTTTATTTTTAGGATGTAGGGGAACATCCCAGCAGCACTGGGGGCCACGCCGGGCAGTATCTGCCTCCATCTGTCTGGCTGCACATGCTGGAGGTTCACTGCTTGGCCAAGTGTTCTCCAATAATGTCTGGGGGGGAGGGGGTGTCACACAGGGGCCTTCACCATCAGACTCACACACTAGCCCTGAGCCAGTTCCCAGCCACCCAGAAAGCACATTCAAACAGGACAGGGCTGGCGTGACCACACAGTGGGGAAGGCACTTGCCGTCCTGGGTTTGATCCCAGCATCCCACATAGTCCCCGAGCCCTCCAGGAGGGACTCAGCACTTCTGGGTGTGGCCCAAAAACAAAAACTAAAACGAGACAAAAGGAGGGTCTTCACCCACTAACGTCAATGACGGAAATTAGTAATGCGTGTGTGTTTGGGCTTAATAGATAACAAAATGTGTCTTCTTAATGAGTCCGAGGATTAAACCGTCTTCCCATGCCCAGTGCGTGAGCGAGCCTTTACTTACCTCAATGGGGGTCCCACAGCACGGGCAGCACTTGGAGTTCTTCTCTAGCCAGTCTTTGCTTTCCATCTCCTCCAGCGCCTTCTGTATCACCCTCTTCCCATACCTCTGTTCCAAAAATCTTTTACTGGCCTCATCTGCTTGCAGGTACTCATTTCGTAAGTCTATTAATTTCTCTGCAAAGCGAAAGGGAAAAGGAATTCTTAGACACCTTTGCGATGCTGACCCCAAACCACCTGACAGGACTGGCTGACAATGCTGCAACTTCCTCCCAAGGCGATAATCCAGAGCAAGAGACGATTCGAGCAATGACAAGTTCAATGTCCAAGGGAATAATTATGGGTGAGTCACCGAAAGACTGACTATCCAGTTATTAAACACTTAATTAGGAAGTCTACAACCCATTAATCTATTCATTATAGAACCCTGGTGGGGGTAGTGTATTTATTTGTGGTAGAATCAGGTAAAAAGGACAATCCCCGAGTAGAAAAGTTGCCTTTTTTTTTTTAAATGTATGTTCATGGGCTTTTATTTATTTTTGGCTTTTTGGGTTACACCCAGCAATGCACAGGGGTTACTCCTGGCTCATGCACTCAGGAATCACTTCTGGTGGTACTTGGGGGACCACAGGGATGCTGAGAATTGAACCCACATAGGCCGCATGCGAGGCAAACGCTCCACCTGCTGTGCTATTGTTCCAGCCCCCAAAAGTTGGACTTTTTAAAGGAAGTAGAATCAATTATCTTCTCCTTGACTCAGACTTACTACTGTTGGTGTTTGTGCAACTGGTAGTACACAAATATACAGAACAACTTCCAAAAAGGGAGCGATAGTCCAGCAAGTAGGGCGTTTGCCTTGCACGCAGCCAACCTGGGTTCTATCCCCAGCATCCCACATGAAGCCCCCATCACTGCCAGGAGTAATTCCTGAGTGCAGGGCCAGGAGTAACACCTAACCATCGCTGAGTGTGACCCAAAAGACACAAAGAAGAGAATGACTTCTCCAAAAGTCACAAAGGTCGATAGAGACAGTCACCAGCCGCTAAGTCAGTGTCACCCACCATATAATCAATGAACAAGGCTGGCCAAACACAGGCCCTTCCAGCTTACTAACCACTCAATTCTGGACACTTCAAAAAGCCTGAATAAAATCTACCACCTGAAGCCAGAATGACAGGACAGCGGTTACAGTGTTTGCCTTGCAATGCGGCTGATCCGGGTTTGGTCCCTGGCACCCCATACGGCCACAGAGCCCAGACGGGAGTCATTTCTGATACTGGCGTGACGGGGTTGAGATCTGAGGCCGGGAAAACTGTACACATGGAATTTGATCATGGCTGATTGTGAATGGGTGCTATGAATAACTTTGTAAATTACAGCACTTCAATAAAAAATATATAAAAAGTAAATTAAAAATCTACCACCCACAGGTCCCGGCAAAGTCCCTCCCATCAGCTCCTCCCAACACTGGGGCAAGCACCTCTGTCTCTGTCACAGACCTCGAATGGAGCAGGCAGTGGCTCCCACAGGCTCAGCGCAGAGACAAAAGTTCATTTTCTATTGCCTTCATTTTCTAACCTGATTAATTAAAGACCTCTCTTAGCAGCGTTCTGCCTTTTTTTTCTTAATGACTCTCCTCCTACTGCTGAGGGTCTGTCTCTGGGCGCAACACTGGGGCAGTCTCCTCTCACACACAAGTCCTCCTTTCCTCTGCCTTTCTCGAGAGACTGCAGGCTGGTCGCTTTTCATCCTGTCGTCTTTATGACCGTCAAACTGTCCCTTCCGTGGTTGCAGTGACCCGGGGAAGCCCCCTGAGTGGTGCTGTCTGTAGAGCTGGCTGCTGGGTTCTGGCGATGGTACCAGGGACCCAGATGGCAGTGCCACGGGGCCACCCGCGGGAGGTACTGGGGACTGCACTCTCCACCTCTGAGCTATCCTTGGGTCTCATCCTGTCCTTGTGATGCTGCTGAGGCCACCTCAGGTGGCAATGTGATGGCAGAGACGGATCCTGGGACCCACGGGTGCAAGGAAGGTGCTCTATACTGAGCCAGCGCTGGCCCTGGCCTGTCATTTTTTATCCCTCTCATAACCCAAAGTATGTCTGTGTTCCTTTGGAGACATCTTAAGGTTAAGAAAAGGAAAATCTGGGCTGAAGCAATAGCACAGCGGGTAGGGGGTTTGCCTTGCACGCGGCCAACCTGGGTTCGATCCCCAGCATCCCATATGGTCCCCTGAGCACTGCTAGGGGTGATTCCTGAGTGCAGAGCCAGGACTAACCCCTGAGCATTGCTGGGTATGATCCCCCCCCCCCAAAAAAAAAGTGTTGTCCTTAAGAAGAAAAATTATTTCACTAAGCTTCACAATAATAATTTATTAATTCTACCTATTTGTCAGATGGTAGCACTGAGTATATAGATGTGTATACGTAAACTGTATATACAAAGAAATTCCTAATTTGGAGCTGGAGCGACAGCACAGCAGTGGGTAGGGCATTTGCCTTGCGTGCGGCCAACCCGGGTTCAATTCCCAGCATCCCATATGGTCCCCTGAGCACTGCCAGGGGTAATTCCTGAGTGCAGAGCCAGGAGTAACTCCTGAGCATCACCGGGAGTGACCCCAAAAAAGCAAAAAAAAAAAAAAGATTCCTAATTTTCTAATTTTATGAAACCCCTAAATCTGTCTTCGATTCCCCCCCCCCCCCCCAATATTGTGAAATGCCTGAATCACACTCTAGCCCTTCAGTGACAAGGCCTCAGACGCGCCTTGGCCCGACACTGGTGAGTCAACATGCACCCCCACCCCTGCCCTATCGCTATCCCCCATGGCTCCTAACAACTCTCAGATTCTGCTCGAAGTAACTGGAAATATCGCCTCCTTCTCCTCTCGGGGTCCTTTCTTGGAGATAATAGCATTCTGCTAACAGCAGCAATTAGTAACTATAGTAATAATTACATTCATAATTATCCTTTTGCATTTTACACGTTTTAGTCAATTGTTCTTAAAATATCTATGGGGGGAAAAATCCATTTTCTCGCCCACTGTCAAGGATCAACAGCAAAATACAACCAAATGAACTATTAGAAAAAACAAAAAGCCAAAAGCCAAAAAAATACAAGACAATTTTGGGTTGGGGAGGGGGGTTGGGTTGGAACCACACCTGGTGGTGCTGCTCAGGGACCCTCCCCTCCCCAGGGACCAGATGATATTCCAGGATTCAGACCAGTGCCATGAGCCAAGCAAGAGCCTTAACCTATCTCTGTGGTTCTGACTTATTTTTCTTTGTATTAAATTTACTGCCCTAAAATTCCATTTAGATTTAAAATCTAAATACCTCTTGTACCAACTTCTCCACCTCTCAACGTGCCTTTCACAGACCAGTGAAGCGAAGAGCTGTGAAGACTCTGTGATGGCCCGGCCTGCAGTCACCCGTGCAGTAGCTGCCGCCAACCCGTCTCTTCTAGAACATCCAAGGCCCCGGGGCCCACGGGCTGGTGGGGGGCTGGTGTCTCAGTCCTCTCGGACTGGAAACGGCAAACAGGCCACACCTGGGGTCCCCTCAGCAGAGCGCCACTTTCTGCAGTGGTGGACTGAGGCCCAGGCCTCCCTCGACGACCAGTTCTACAAAGTGCCAGGGAAATACGCAAGGTGGCCCCCCGTCTATGCTGTCCTATGTGGCAGCCGGATTCCCTTCTGGAATGCCTGTCCCTTGTTTAAACAACAACAACAACAACAAACATAGTATGAGACCAATTCCCAAGGACAACGGAAGTGAGGACACAGAGGATTGAGGACTGGTCGGCGGTTGAAAGTCTGCCAAATGAGGAGAGGGGGCTGGGGGGGGTAGTTAGGATAGAGAAGTCCACTATGACAATGACAGCTGGAAATGATCACTCTGGACAAGAACTGAGTGCTGAAAGGTGGTAAGGGATATACAAATAACCTTTCAGTACCTGTACTGAAAACCATAATGACGGGAAGGGAAGGGGAGGGGAGGGGAGGGGAAGGGAGGGGAGGGGAGGAGAGGGGAGGGGAGGGAGGGAGGAAGAGAGAGGAAGACGGAGTGGGGAGGGAGGGGGAGAGAGAGAGAAGAAAAGTGCCTATCACAGAGGCAGGCTGGGTGGGGGATGGCAGAAGGGAAACTGGGGACATTGGTGGTGGGAGATGTACATTGCTGAAAAGAAGGATATTGCTTGGAACACTGACTTAAACCCAGTATGAACAACTTTGTAACCGCATCTCATGGTGATTCAATTTAAAAAAAAAAAGAAGAAGAAGAAGAAGAAGAAGAAGAAAGACAGGAATGAATGGCTGTCCCTAATGTCTTCATGGCGGGTTTCCTGATCGAATTCAAGTCTTACTCAAGCCACTTTGCCAAGCCCTGAGTAAAAACCACCGGCCAAAACCACCCAACGCCCTTTCTCTTCTGAACACCCAGGCCCTGTGATGTGTTTCCCCTCTCATCAGCACTCCCCACCGCCTCCATCCCTGTTCTGTGGGCTCCCCCACTCTACCACACACAGGGCACTTCAGCCCTGCTCCGTGCCCAGAATCCAGGCAAGTGACAGGCACAGAAACGTCTATTTGAATGGGCACTTGCATGTTCCAGAGGCCTCTGAGGGCTGGGGTCCCACGGCGGCTCACCTGCGGTCACCTTGCACGGGGACAGCCCGTGGTAGGTAAGCCGGCACAGCGTGCAGAAGGCGAAGTTGCAGCTGGAGCAGATGCCCATGGTGCAGCCGGGCTCCTGCATGACGGGCAGCTGGCAGCAGGGCCGCGGGCAGTACACCACGTCGGCCATCAGGTCCAGGGTGGACTGCAAGAGGAGGCGGTCGTAACGGGCAAACAAGTCTGCGTCCACGAGCTCTTTGACCTGGAGGGCAACACATGACACGTGAGTGGCAATTCTCCAACTGGCTCCAGTCCCGAGGAGAGCCTGGGGCCTGCTGGCATGAGCCCGATGCCCAGACACCCTCCAGCTCACTTCCAAGTCAAACCAAGGGCTGGGGCACATGCCTGGCACGCAGAGGCCCTGGGTTCAACTCCCGGAATGGGATAGTCCCCTGAGCACCCCTAGGTCAGCCTGGAGGCCCCCTGCACTGCTGGGTGTATGGAGCACTGGGCCCAAGAATCCCTGGGAAGAGCGATGGGCACTCTGAGCACTGCTGGGGAGACAGAGACAAAAACATCACAAAATCCAAACAAAGGAGAATCAAAGTCTCCATCTTGACTGGAATGGTCAAGGGATGGGCCGCACACCCGTCAGAGGAAGCAAACAGCACACTGCAAATGGGGAAGCCGATGCCAGAAGCAGGAGCGTGTGTTTGAAAAACCAAACGACAAACCTGTCTTGCAAGCAGTCAGCCTGGGTTTGATCCCTGGCACCCTGTATGGTCCTCACAAGAACTGTCAGGAGTAATTCGTGAGTGCCAAGGCAGAGTAACCCCTGAGCATCACCAAATGTGGCCCCAAAACAAAAACAGTCAACAGCGGGGAAGGCCCTTGCCTCATGGCCAACGCGGGCATTTGATATGGCTCCCTCAGCCCGACCAGAAGTGATCCGTGGGCATCACAGGGTGCGGTCCAAAAAAAGGGTAAAAGCAGATCACAGCGTTCCTGACAAGAGTAAAACTCGTCAGCTGGCTCCGTGGCCTTGGACTGGCTCGATGAGCCCTGGCAGGGCAGTCCGGCGGAGGACAGCCGCCATGCGGGAGAGAGTTGGGGCAGCAGCTAGCAGAGGATGGAATTACCTGACCCGGAGTGGCCACTGAAGAGCACTTGGGTTCGGGGCAGTTGAGGCAATGAACCTGGCCATCTTTGATCTGGATTTCGAAGTAGTCCTTCAGGCAGGCTTTGCAGTACACGTGCCGGCACTCCGAGAAGTACATGCACTCGCTCCCCAGCTTCTCGCTGAAGCAGATATTGCACAGGAACAATTTACTATTGAAGCACTTGATCTGCTGCGCTTGATCAAAGTCCAGGATTTCCTGGATGAGGCTGGACAGCGACTCCACATCCTGCACGGCTCTCTCGTCCACCACTTCCTCTGGGTCTGCATCCGAGCAAGCAGCACCTCCGAACTCCAGCTCAGAGCTGGGAGGGGCCGGCACGGTCCTCCTCTGCCCCGTTTTCGGAGACCCCATCTTGAGCTCGAAGGGAGAGACGATGTTCAGGTACGTCAGTGTGTCTTCCTTAAGGAACTGCATCCAGGCGAACAGGACCACGCTGCCACGATGCTCCTCCCACAGGTTGTCCAGGTGCTTGCAGAGGGCAGAGAGCTGGAAGGAAGCGCAGGAGAGCCGGTGAGCTGGCTACGACAGTGCAGTCAAGGCCGGACTTCCCTGGGAAGTTTTTAACGGGTGAGCGAGGCCCTTATGCCTGAAAACATCATCATTTTGGCTTTCTAAACTGCTAGGACAAGCGAGACTATACAACAGTACTAAGATTCTAAGAACACTTCTCCAGTGGTTCCACAGGGACCCAGGGCAGAACACCAAGGCAGCAAGTGCAAGAAGTGTCACGAAAATAAAGAGAAAGGGCCCGACTCCACTAGGCGCCAGGCTAGTGCTGGCGGATGAGGCACGGAGAGAAACTCTGTCCTCGTTTTCCAGTTTTATACTGCTACAGATCTTGGGTAGGAGACCTAGCTTAAAAACGTGTATGCCTTTGCAGTTCTAGCCCTGTAGGAACTCCGAAATAAAGACTAGGAAAAAATTTAAAATTTTTTAAAATTTTAATTTAAATTTAAAATTCCCCTACCATGCAAGGTGCCAGGGAGGTGGTTTACAGAGCGGAAGGAGGAACTGCTCTGCACGCAGGAGTTCTGCATGCCATCCCTGGCACCCCCATCCCCAGCAGCAAACAGCTAACAAAACGGACCCTGGGTGTGGGGCCACCCCCTGGAGTGCTGGGAGTGGAGCCGGGTTGGGGGTCATCAACACTCCCCCGGCAATGTTCTGCCGGTTGGCAGGGTTCTGAAGGAGCTTGGGCCTGTTTGGGGGAACTTGTGGGGCACCATGTGGTGGCAAGGACAGAACTCAAGGTCTTAAAGATTCAAGGCATGTGCTCGACCAACTGAGCTATCTCCCTACTCCCCCTCCCAATTTTAAATTAATTCTAACCTTTAATCTTATCAAAGTCACTCATGAAAGAACCACAAACAGAATCCTTATGATTGTTTTTACTAAGCAGCCTGGGCCTGCGCCAGATCCTGGCTAATGATGGGACAGGCTGTTATCAAACCTAGGCCTGACAGCAGACCTACAGCATGGCTTGGCTGCCACGGGAAAAGCTTAAGACTTCCTATAGCAAGCAACCAAAGTTCAAACCACTCCAAGTTTTCTTCCTCACAAGTGATTTAGGAGGCCAGAGAGACTGCACAGCAGGGAGGGCATTTGCCTTGCACACAGCTGACCCAGGTTCGCTCTCTAACATCCTATATGGTCTCCCAAGCACTGCCAGGAGTGATTCTAGGAATAAGCCCTGAGTAACACTGGGCGTGGCCGCCAAATTAAAAAAAAAAAAGTGGTGTATTTGCCTTGCAAGTGGCCAACCCAGGTTCAATCTCCAGCATCCCATAGGGTCCCCTGAGCACTGTCAAGAGTTATCCCTGACCACAGAATCTAAGCATCACTTTAGAACGCCTCTCCCCTTGCCAACACACACACACACACACACAAATAAGCATCTGAGGTGCAGCTAAATTTTGTAAATTTAAATCACAAGTGAAAAAGAATCACATTCTTTTCATTGCTCTGCATAGTAGGCTAAACAGAGCTGGACTTAAACACTGACCAGTTCAAATTTGCAAAATTAATGTTTTTTCAAAGTCATGCTTTTTTTGGGGGGGAGGGGATCACACCCAGCGATGCTCAGGGGTTACTCCTGGCTCTATACTCAGGAATCACTCCTGGCGGTAGCTCAGGAGGCTATATGGGACCATATGGGATGCTGGGATTCGAACCCGGGTCGGCCGCATGCAAGTCAAACGCCCTACCCAATGTGCTATTACTCCAGCCCCTCGAAGTCATGCTTTTGATAAGCAGGTTAAAATCTGCAAAAGACAATACTAAAAGGAAGCTCTGAGTGTCAGTTGAGTCACCAGATCTAGCAAAGAACACATCCTCCTCCATCCTTTCTTCTCTAAAGCAGCAAGAGTGTGAGGGAGAGAGAGAAAGAAAAAGAACAAAAGGGAGACTGTGTATGTGTGTGCAGATATACACAGACATAGGGGGAAGAGATAAAGGAACAAAAAATTCAGTTTATTTCCATTCTATTTATACCAACCACAGTTCAGTGGAAAATGTTTTATGTCCATCTCATCAATCAGGTGAATTTCACAAAGACAGGGTATAAGGGTCAAGCAATCAACGCAAATTAACCAGAATTGGAAAAAAAAAGCCATAAGAATTAAAAATGACACAAATGGTGAGCCAGAGAGATAGAACAGCAGGTAGCGCATTTCCCTTGCACATGGTGGACCTGGGTTTGATACCCAGCATCCCTTATGGTTCCCTAAGCATCACCAGCATCCCGAGTGCAGAGCCAGGAGTAACCCTTGAGGACCAAAAGGTATGCCACAAAAAAGTAAAAAAAAAAAAAAAAAAAGACAAATATGCACAAAAATTTGACTCTGCAATTTTAGCAGTAGAACATAAAATAATAAGCAACTCTCCTCTCCTTACACCTCCAAAAGCTGGCATCAGGTCGAAGCTTTGTCACTATAATCTCGACATGGAAACCAAACTCTCAGTTCATGCATGTGTGGTATCCACTGCATGGACGGGAAGTCTCGAGAGCTCTCTGGGAAGAGGACGGTGAAGATCTAAATAACTCAATGACGACTGATTGAAATGTCAAGCCCTCTTGCTATTCTCGAGAAAACCATCCACTATCTTGTGTGCACCTCCTCCGACACAGATGTTATAACGGAGTCCCTTCCTTCAATTCTTGCTCTCCCCGTGTTTGAAGTTCAAATCTGTCCTTATAACCACAAGCTCTGTTTTACGAAAGCGCTCTCATGTCAAAGATGAGACTGGTAGGTGGGAAGCAAATGGAAATTACATGACCATGAGAGCAGCAGCTGCCAAGCTGCCCTTTCGGGTCAAACAACTCTGACAGCTTTTGTCTTAATATCCGTCAGCCCATCACTCTTCATTGGGACTTGTAGAAAAGTAGCTGCTATTGATCAATTATCTACCCCAGAATACTTTCTATTGGCGAGGGATCAAATTTATGTCTCAATCAAAGTTGGGCTGTTACCAAGAAAGGCTATATGATCTAGAGGAAAATGAAGGCTCATGAGGAAGTTTCCAGCCTCAGTGAGGGACCTGCGGGCATCACTCAACGCTTCAATTTGTGTGTACTTACATGGATGTGAGCTCGGTAAGCATTTACTATTAATATACAGAACTTTAAAAATAAAGGCCCTTAGTCAGTTTACTCAGAAAATTTGTTTATTATAACTGCATCAGCTCAACTTTAATCCTCCTGAATTAAATCTTCATTTAAGTAATGGAGAAGGAATTCAGATTTAAAAAAATAAAATCTAGGAAAATGAGTAGGTCCTGACAGTCTCCATTACAATACAGATTCAATGAGGAAATGGCAAGACAAGAGAAACAATATACTTGATCACAATTCATAATGATTAATCCTACTAATTACTGCCGCGCCTTTCTAAAACAACAAACATTTTAAATTCATTCAACATTAGAAATCATGAAGGCGAGGGGGGAAAATAACAAAATCAAAGTCATTTGTTCTTCATGCACTGAATTTATAATCATCAAGGGTAGTCGGAAATTAAAGAGGATTTTTTCCTTTTTTTTTTTTAAGTTTCTAAAAATGGAGAAATTAAGTTTCGGGTCTAACCTGAGTTGGTGACAGCCATTTGCCACTAAGTGTGAATGAAGGTGGGGAGGAAGATGGATAATCTGGTGGCAGTTCAAAGTTCAGCACAAGTGGAGGCAGAAAGCAAATGGTGTGTTCAAAGCCACCATTCTGGAGACACTCATTTGAATTGCCTGAACCAAAAAACAAAGATTAGAAAGGATCAGTGGGTCGGCACTGCAGTGTTTGTGACTGAGGAGCAGTGCCCAAGAAAGACCTAAGGCTTCAGCTGAGGGGATTAAAGACCCTCCTCCAAAGCCACCTCTGTTCCCTAATTTTAACTTCATAGCCATCACCTTAAAAAAAAAAAACAACTCGAAGAGCCCTTGAAAAATCTGCTAAGCCCATGAAATTTACAGTGAAGACACAACTTCTTTTTGTATGAGTTTGAGTCCAATTTCTAAACTCATGAGCTAGGGAGAGGCACCAGGTTTTCTTTTGTTGTTTTACCATGCATGACTTTTCTGGAGAGAAGGAGGCTTATTTCCATGAAAGACCCGTGACCTACTCAGCCCAGTAGGTACCAACCACCCATGCATTAGGGGTGGGAGACTTTGTGACAACACAAGGATCTCCCAGATGAGAGTAAGATACAGCGTGTAACTCTCTCACAATCAAAAGTTTTGTTTTCAAAGTTCCTGCTAAGTCTGGAGTTCTGTTCCCACGTTCTTTCTGCCTCTGGGGGCCACACGCAATACTGCATGCCTGCGACTAAACCCTGGTGTCATGCACGCAGGGTGTGCAGTTCACACTCTGCACTGCCAGCCGTCACCTCACTTTCTTGACTCAATGCCTTTAGAGCAGAGATATTTTGTGAAAGTGTGAATCCAAGTCCTCTGTGACTATATCAAAAGAAGATTTTTATTCATCTTGTTGTTTCTCCTTGAAGCAAATGTCACATGGCCACAAAGTAACAAGGTTATGGTAAGTGAAATAATTCTAGGAAGGGAAATAGTATTCACCACCCCCACAGTCCTTTAAGGTTGTCCAAGTGTCTCCATAGACATGATTTCCTTTTCTCTTTGATGAGCACTATTTAATCAGGCTTGCTACAACTAAACCATGTGTTTGAAGACTGAAATGCATGAAACGATTGTGCAGGATATATCCCAATGCAGCTGTCCAAAAGGTGGGGTTACCAGGTTGAAAATTCTGAACCCCACCACTCTGGTTTTCAATTAAATTTAAAACTTAAAACTTAAAACTTAAAATTAAATACCAATGCGATCACAGGTCACCAATGCCTTAGCCATGAGGGAATCATTTAGGGTCCGATGAGACACGAAGAATAAGCTTTACTTTAGGAAAAATGGTTTGGAAGCCCAGGGACTAACCTCTCACAAATATCTTGAAATTCTGTGGCAAGTCCAAGTAGATCCTGGTTTCTCCGCCTTGGACAGACTCTGCTTTTCTAAATTCATCTCCATCATAAATACTCGCCAGGGCCAGCAACTCATCCTCCTGCGCCTCTCGGTCCTCAGACGACATTTAATTTTCTAAGGAGCTGAAGAGAATCAATCGAATCCAGTTAAGAACGGAAAGAGCAGAGGCTTGGGAAAAGTCAAGTGGCACAAAAACTCACCTCACGAACAAGTGCAAAAAATAAACCAACCAGCACAAAATGACAGGCACATCCAATATTCTAGAAATGGCGTTTGAGGGGGCTGGAGCGATAGTACAGCAGGGAGGGCATTTCCCTTGCACACAGCCAACCCAGATTCAATTCCCAGAATCCCATTTGGTCCCCTGAGCATCGCCAGGAGTAATTCCTGAGTGCAAAGCCAGGAGTAACCCCTGTGCATCGCTGGGTGACCCAAAAAGCAAAAAAAAAAAAAAAAAAAAAAAAAAAGGCACTCGAGAAATAGCCATTTTCAACAAGGATGGCTAGTGTGCCTGTCCTTACTATTAGTACCATAGGGCAATTCAGAGGACAAGTCACCAATACTTCTGACTTGTCGACTAAACTTAGCAAAATGCTTTGTTCATATGCACCCCTGATGGCCTTCTCAAACATAATAAAAGGGCTTCTATTTTTTAAAAATTTTTTTTGCTTTTTGGGTCACACCCAGCGATGCTCAGGGGTTACTCCTGGCTCATGCACTCAGGAATTACTCCTGGTGGTGCTCGGGGGACCATATGGGATGCTGGGAATCGAACCTGGGTCAGCCACGTTGGCTGCGTGCAAGGCAAACGCCCTACACGCTGTGCTAGCGCTCCAGCCCCCAGGCTTTTATTTTTTTACGTATTAATTTCCCTTGGATTTTTATTTGTTTGGGGGGGGCCATACCCAGTGGTGCTCAGGGCATCCTCCTGGCTCTGCACTCAGGAATCACCCCTGGTGGAGCTTGGGAACTGAACCTGGGTGTGTAAGGCAAATACTCTACGGGCTGTACTGGCTGTACTATCTCTCTGGCCCTGACCTCAGGTTTTTCTTTTCCGTTTGTTTGTTTTGGGATCACACCCAACAGCGCTCAGGACTCACTCCTGGCTCTGCACTCAGGAATCAGTCCTGGTGGTACTCAGGATGCCAGGGATTGAATCCAGGCCGGCTGCATGCAAGGCAGGTGCCCTAACTCGCTGTACTATTTGCTCCCGCCCCCTTAGTTATTTTTTAACAGGAGCTACTGCCGTGGCACACAGGAGTCTAAAGCCTCAGAGAAATGAGCCTGACTACTGGCAGCTCAGAGGTCCCGAGCATCACATGCAGGACTGGGGGGTGATGCATGCAACACTGGGGACTGAACGTGGGGGCCCACACACGCCAGGCACATGCCACACCAATTTGAGAGCCAGGACTCTCAATCGCAGCTTATTTGGAAACAAATTTGGAACAAATAAATCTCCCCCCCCACCCAAAGTTACCTTAAAGTACTATAATTTCATAGTAATTTTCATAGGGCTAGAGATGTCGCTCATTGATAAGAGCACTTGCCTTGCACGTGTGAAATCCTGCATTTATTTATTTTTGGGGCCACATCCAGCAGTAATCTGGGGAGAGCGCGTTATGCACTATAAGATGTCTAACAGCATCTGTGGCTTCAGCCAATGAGATGCCAACACTTTCTCTCAAAAGTTGTGGCTATCAAAAACATGTCCTGAAAAGAGTCAAATGTTGGGGGGGCAGGGAGGGCCAAACAGTTTGCTGTGATAAACACGGTGTTCTGGACACTGTAACGGGGTCTAACACTTATCCTGTGTGATAAGGATCTCGAGCACCAGCCTTTCTAGCGTCAGATCTTGAGTTTGGATCCTGGCACCCTACAGGTACCCTACATGATCCTGGCACGCTCATGCTCTGTCTTCTGAGCCTCAGAGCTCTGTAGTCTGGTATGCCTGGCATCACAAGCAATTTCTGTCTGGGGTGGCTACAGCGGTGAGCCCCACAACCTGACGTGCTATCCCTAGTCAACACTCAAGAGAAGGGGGAGAAAATTAAATACTGTGTTAGTCAGTGGAATAAGGATTAACAGAGGGGCCAGAATAGAACAGTGGGTAGGGCATTTGCTTACACACAGTCAACCTAGGTTCAACCCCCAGCATCCCATATGGTCCCCAGAGCACTGCCAGGGGTAATTCCTGAGTGCAGAGCCAGGAGCAATCCCTGTGCATCACTGGGTGTGGCCCCCCCCCACAAACACACACAAAAGTAAAACAAGATTAATTGAGGAAGTAGCAAAATAACACTATGAAATGACACCAGATCTCATCAAAGTGATTTTGAGATTTAACATTATTTAAAGAAATACTAAGAAGGAAAAGCTACAATTAAAATGTGAATCGATGATTTTTTAGCACAATAACTAAAAGGGACATCATAATTTCTGATAATTAAAATGTGGGGAAAATATATAAGGAGAACCCTATGAAAAAATTACTTTTCTTTTTCCCTTTAAGGTTGCAGTGTTTGGGACCCAATCCAATACCAGGAAAACTGCTCAAAAGGCAGGAGTGCAGGCTTCGCAGAGGGGAGCCCAGGGTTTGATCCCCTGTCCTACCTGGTCTCCTCAAATTACTGTTGGCATGGCCCTCAAAATAAATAAATCAGGGGCTGGAGCGATAGCACAGCAGGCAGGGACTTCGCCCTGCACGCGGCTGACCCAGGTTCGATTCCCAGCATCCCATATGGTCCCCTGAGCACTGCCAAGAGTTATTCCCAAGTTGAGAGCCAGGAGTAACCCCTGTTCATTGCCGAGTGTGACCCAAAAAGCAATAAATAAATAAATAAATAATAAATAAATCAGGCTAGGACTTCACACATGCAAGGTAAGTGCTCTATCTATGAGCAACATCCTCGATCCTATGAAAATTACTATAAAATTATGTTACTATGAAAATAATAAATCAATAAATATAAACCTTTGGGTTTGGTCCCTGGCAATACACAAAAAGCTTGGAGTAGGCTCAGCACTGCCAAGAGTGGCAAAACAACAGCACCAAACTGCTCCCATTTTTCAAACAAGCATTTTCTTCCAGCAAAAGCTGAATCTCTAAGACACGGTGACATGTTCTATCTGAGGTCAGTGAGTACCTGTTAATAACCACCAGAAGAAAAGGATATCAACACCGTGGTCCGGATCTCAGTTCAGAGTCTGGGAGGGTACAAATCCCATAGGTTCTGAAGACAATGGAGATGGGACAGCTGGAGCTGGGGGTAAGGCCAAGCCGTGGAACTCATACTAGAAACACTATAGAAACTCAGCCATCTACAAGGAAGGAAGGAAAGAGAGTATGTTAGAAGCCTCTGGATTACCGTGATCCCCACTCAGATGAAAAAACATCCTGGCTCCCAACCAATCCTACACAACAGCCGCACGTCTGTCCCGAAAGAACCCAACAGAGCCCGGTAGTGAAAGGGGCGTTTGTGTCTCTGGCAGAGACAGACCTTCTTATCTCTCTGCTACAGCCTTGGGAGGAGCTGAGGAGGAACCCCAGGGTCACTGGAAAAGATTGCACTTCATGCCACGGGACAAACCCAAACCTTGTTGGGTTTATTTGGGTCCCTCTTTCTTCCTGTTTCTATTCCAAGTTTCCCCCCCTCACCTGCGAATGAGTAAATCCTGCCAGTCATGTTCACCCGCTAGAATAACTGATGCCTGATAAGTTGTTGAAAACATAAGTGGAGACAGAAACACAACACACGGTTAGTTCTGTCCTAAATGCTTCCGAGTCCGGCTCTAGAACTGTGAGGGGGAGACAAGGGTGGTCCACAGATGGAGGGGAGAGCCCGATAAGCACCCTGAAATTACTGCCCTCTCCCCCATAAAACCACTTTCCAAACAGATTTGGGGATGTGTGACTCCATGATAAGCTTAAGAACCAAACCCAGAACTGATTCAGCTGTGTACCGATTATATCCCCCAAGGACTCTTTTAGTCCTTACACAGGAAAACCATCTGACCAAGTGTCAGAGAGGATACTGGAATTAATATTTTTTTTTTGTTTCTTCCTATTCAAACATTTACAAATGATATGAGAGACGAATTCTGTTTCCGGTTTCAGGTCAGTGTCCAGCTGCTTGCCTGGCTATCAGCATCTCCTGCAAAGCTTTGAAAAATCTCAGTACCAGAGAACCGAGTGCATGCTCTGCACTGAAGAGACCCCAGTTTGATCCCCAGCACCACATGGGCCCCCAGTACAGAGCTGGGAAAAGACCCCCAGCTATGCCAGGTGTAGGCCCCAAAACCAAACATAAGTCTCAATGCCCAGGCCATACTCCATCAGGGATGACGGTCCTCCAGCTCTCCCTGATTCTAATGTACAGCCAGACTGTCACCCTCACCAGACCTCTACTTCAAACAAGCCACCTGACCCCTATTCCTTCATTCACATCACTGGCCATCATTTCCTTCTGATTCTGCCTACTCCGCCCGCAACAACTACGTCCAAAGTCCCTGTATTATACAGAATTCCCCATCAGAAGCATATCTCACTTAAAAAAAAAAAAGCAGCAAACTTGACAGTTGGATTCCTGTGACATTCTCATCCATCCCACCTTAGGCTACATTACAACGGGACTTAACACTTCCCAGCCACTCATTTCTCATGTCTAATTTCTTGAACAGCACGGGGCAAGTCTTCTTGCATCCCGTGCGTGGCTGGAACTCTGCATTAGAGACTGGAAACATCAGAATGGAAAGGGGGGTGCGACATCGGGGGTGCTGGAAAGAGACGCGGGACACAGAAGCTAGGCAGAGTCGGTGGCGGCTGGGCAGCAGCCCCCTGGCAGCAGGAGGCCGGGTGGGCGTCACGAAGGGCTCAGGGGCAGCAACACAACACGCCCGCCGAGAGCCCTGGCCCTGCAAGGGCGCCCCTTCCGGGCACCCACCCCGGGGAGGAGCTCCCAGCACCCCGCAACGCCTAGTTATTCCCAGATAAGAAAAGGGCAGCGGATGGTTTTTGCTTTCCCCTCCCTGCCCAAGGTCACGCCGCTGGCACAGCCCTCCATCTGGGCTCAACCCACCCTGTTTCTTGGTCCTTAGCCGAGAATAAACCGGGGCGCCCCTTGGCCCCAGAGACCCGGGGCAAGTTCCAGACGAGTCTGGGCAAACCGGAAGCCGCTGACCCGGAGGAGAACCCCACCCCCACCCCGCCCCCCGGGCTCGGGGTGAATCCGGCCCGTTCTTGCAGGCCACACACACACCCCGCGCGGGCCGCGGTCAGGTCGGGGGTCCCCGGGAATCCCCTCGCGGGGTGCCAGGCGGCCGGCCGGGGCCACTCACCCCGGGCTCCGCGCTGGCCCCGCGCCGGGGCCCGGAGGGGCGGGCCCGGGCGTTCCCCCGGGGCAGGGCCTCCCCCTCCCTCTCCCGAGCACCCCCGCCGGAGTCCGAGGCGCGCTACGGGGTGCGCCGGCCGGGCTCGGGGGCTCGCCCGGCAACACCCAGCGCGCACGGAGCGCGGTGCCCGCCGGACCCTTCCGGCCGCCCCTCCGAGCCCGGCCCGAAAGTTCCGCCCGCGGCCCCCGCCCGCCCGGGGTCCCCTCACCGCCGCTCGCCGGCCCGGCCCGGTGACGCCCCGCGGCCCCCGCGCGCCGCCTCTTCCGTCCTCGCCGCTGTCAGCTGAGCCGGACGGGTCGCACCGGCGCCGGGACGCTCTGCGCAGGCGCCGTGGCCACCCCGGCGCCCTCGGCTGCCTCCCGACGGCCGAAGGAGGCGCTGCAGCCGCCACCACCCACACCTGACCCCGACCCCGCCCCCCTGCCCAGCGCCTGCTTTGGCAGAAGTTGATCCAAACGTAGATTCTTGGGAGGAGAGGAGGGGAGTGGAGGTCCAGGGCAATCTGGAATGATAAGGCCGAGGAATCCGAGTTTTTAACCAGTCCCGGGAGAAGATGGGGAATTTTGCGTCTACCTGGAGGCAAGATTTTTAACAAGGCTAGATTTATAAATTTATATATTTGTAAATTTAACAATCCTCTCCTCCACGTAGACTAAGCAATTGTTTGCCCTCTCCTCCGTCCTGACTCCTTCCTCGGAAATGCTGTGCATCTTTACTGGCACGTCTATCCTGATAGTATTTATTGTTCCTACTTTTTTTTATTGTTCCTATTTTAATAATAATGTGGTGGTAAAAGGTAAAAAAGGTAAAGGCCTTTTTACCTTCGTCGATTTGCTCGAGCGGGCCCAGTAACGTCTCCATTGGAGACTTTGTTGTTACTGTGTTTGGCATATCGAATACTTGCCGGGCTCTCCGAGAGGGGCGGAGGAATCGAACTTGGGTCGGCCATCTTGGCCGCTTGTAAGGCGAACGCCCTACCCGCTGTGCTATCACTCCAGCCCTAATGTGGTGGTATGTTGTAATAATAATGCTGTGATATTAATGTGGTTATATTACAACATATTGCCACCCTGTTGTAATGCTACAAACTTTACTGAGCAGTCAGAATGCTTCAAAACACTAGGCTATGTGCTTTGTGTACACGAATTCTCATCTTCATTATAACCACATAATTAAAGGTACTATTTGTTATTCCCGGTTTACTAAAGAGCAAACTGATGGGGGCCAGAGAATAGTACAGCAAAGGGTGAGGCGCTTGCCTTGCCTGCAGCTGACCCAGGTTCAATTCCTGGTATTTTATATTCCTGTAGGGAATAATCCCTGAGCACCACTGGGTGTGCCTGTCCCCAACCCCATGAAAAGAAACAAATGAGCAAACTGAGACTTAGAAAGATTCAAAGGATGCATGACTATTGTCCCACCAAGAGGCTAAGCGGTTCCTTTGTATGAGGCCCAGGCACCATTTTTTTAAAAAAAGACATTAAAAACCCGATAAACAAACAAACAAAACTGTCCTCCCAATGTTCATTGATTTGCTCGAGCGGGCCCAGTAACATCTCCATTTTGAGACTTGTTGTTACTGTGTTTGGCATATTGAATACGTCACGGGGAGCTTGCCAGGCTTTGCCGCGCGGGCGAAATACTCTTGGTAGCTTGCTGGGCTCTCCGAGAGGGGCGGAGGAATCGAACCCGGCTCGGCAGGGCTGGCTGCGTGCAAGGCAAATGCCCTACCACTGTGCTATCGCTCCAGCCAAAAACCCGATAAATGGGAATTAAATTTTACAAAATTTTATATACAAAAAAATTAACCTAAACTGAATTAAACTTCTATATGTAGGAACTATAGCTCTAGGGTCAGAAAGACATTATATAGGGGTTCAACCATGCACCTTTCATGTGATCCCTGGTACTATTGATGATCCCCTGAGCACCGCCAGGAGTGACCCCTGAGCACAGAGCCAGTAGTACCCCCCACACACAACATCACCAGTTGTGAACAAAGCCCCCTCCAAGAAAAAAAAAAGCTATAAAATTCCTAGAAGTAAATGTTGAGATAAATCTTCACAAACTTGGATTTGGAGATAATTTCTTAGACACAAACCCAAAAATACAAGCCACAAAGGAAATATATGGGCAGCTGGAGCAATAGCACAGCAGGTAGGGCACTTGCCTTGCACGCAGCCAACCCAGACCGACCCTAGTTCTATTCCTCCGCCCCTCTCGGAGAGCCCAGCAAACTACTGAGAGTATCCTGCCCGCACAGCAAAGCCTGGCAAGCTACCCGTGACGTATTCGATATGTCAAAAACAGTAACAAGTCTCACAATTTGTTGTGAGACGTTACTGGTGCCCACTTGAGCAAATCAATGAACGGGAGGACAGTGCTATATATATCTACACATAAGTATATATATATATATATATATATATAAACATATGTGTGTGTGTGTGTGTATGAGGCTGGAGTGACAGCACAGCGGGTAGGGTTTGTTATTGTTTATAGTGTGTGTGTGTGTACAGGATTTGTCAAAATTAAAAACTTTATTTAGGATGAAACAGCACTGACCATGCAAGTGGAAGCAAACATAAACAAATGGTACTACGTCAAACTAAGAAGCTTCTGCACTTCAAAAAAAATAGTGAAAAAATACAGAAAGAGCCCACAGAATGGGAAAGAATATTTACCCAATACCCATCTGATAAGGGATTAATATCCAGGATATACAAGATACAAGTATAATTGTACAAGAAAAACCTCCAACCCCATCAAATATGGAGAGAAGAAATGAACAGAAGTTTCCTCAAAAAATAAATACAAGTGGCCATTTTTGGCACATGAAAAAATGTTCCACATCACTAGACATCAGAGAGATGCAAATCAAAACAACAATGAGATATCATCTCATACCACAGAGACTGGCACACACACATTCAAAAAAACAAAAGCAACCAGTGCTGCTGTGGATGTGGGGAAAAAGGATGCTCTTTCACTGTTGGTGGGAATGCCGACTGGTCCAGCCTTTCTGGAAAACAATATGGACAGTCCTTCAAAAACTAGAAATTGAGCTTCCATATGACCCTGCAATACCACTTCTGGAAATATATCCCGAGAATGCAAAAAAAGCACAATAGAAATGACATATATACCTATGTGTTCATTGCAGCACTATTCACTATAGCCAAAATCTGGAAACAACCCAAGTGCCCTACAACAGATGACTGTTTAAGGAAACTTTGGTACATCTACACAATGGAATACTATGCAGCTGGTAAGAGAGATGAAGTCATGAAATTTGCTTATAAGTGGATAGGAATGGAGAGTATCATGCTAAGTGAAATGAGTCAGAAAGAGAGGGACAGACATAGAAAGACTGCACTCATTTGTGGAGTATAGAATAACATAACATGAGACAGTAGATACAAGGGTCAGGAGGATTGCCCCATAGCCGGAAGTCTGCCTCATGAGCAGAGGGGAGAAGGCCAGTGGAATAGAGAAGGGATCACTAAGAAAATGATGGCTGGAGGAATCAGTCGGGATGGGAGATGTGTACCGAGAGTAAATAATGGACCTAACAAGATGACCTCTCAGTGTCTGTATTGCAAACCATAATGCCCAAAAGTAGAGATAGAGTATGGAGAATATTGTCTGCCATGGAGGCAGGGGGAGGGTGGGGAAGGGGGGTTTACCGGGAAGATTGGTGGTGGGGAATGTGCACTGGTGGAGGGATGGGTGTTTGAGCATTGAGTGATTGAGTGATTGTAACCCAAACATGAAAGCTTATAACTTTCTCATGGTGATTCAATAAAAAAAAATTTAAAAACCCTTTATTTAGTTCTGGGCCAGAGCAATAGTACAACAGGTAGGGTACTTGCCTTGTGCACGGCCATCCAGGTTCAATCCCGATACTCCATATGGTCGTCCAAGCCCACCAGGAGTGATCCCCGAGCACAGAACCAGGAGTCAGGAGTAAGCCCTAAGCATACGGGATGTGACCCAAAAGAAAAACAAAAACAAAAACCAACTTTGGTTCCTGAAAGGACCCTGTCGGTGTCTCTGAGCTAGCACAGGGGTTGAGATGCTGGCCTCGCATTCTGCTGACCCTCCTTTCAATCCACAGAACCACAAATGGTCGCCTCTCAAAAACAGAGCCAAGCATAGCCCCTGAGCACAGCTGAGTGTAGACCCACACAAAAAAAATTAAAAATAAAAATCAGTGCTGGGTAGATAGCTCAACAAGCTGAGCAAATGCTTTGCATTCAGAAGCCCCAGCTTTATCCCCAACATCACATGGTCCTCTGAGCACCACGAAGACACCCTTGAGCACTGAGTCAGGAGTAGTTCTTGAGTATCACCAGGTATGGCCCCAAAACCAAATAAATAAATATAAATAGAGAATTCTTGTCTTGTTCTGTTGGGGGGCCATACCCGCCACTGCACAGGGCTGACTCGTGGCTCTGCGCCTGGGTGAGGTCTTGGGACCACATGTGGTGCCGGGTGCTAGGCAAAAGGCCCTGCCCACTATGGCTCTGGCCCCAATAAAGGGCGCTTTGAAGAAAATAAAAAGATCACCCAGAGAACGTGAGAAAATATTGTGATCAAATATCTGATATAAAGTTCTAATAGAAAGTATGACGAGCACCTGCAATTAAACAGTCAAATAAACCCCATCCCAATTTAAAAGTGCATAGAGGACTTAAATAGACATTGTTGTAGAGAAAATGTATAAGGGGATGAGATATGCTCAGTGGTAAGTACATGTTTTGTAGGAAATACACACACACACGTATAAATTGTCAGTCATGAAAATATGTATAACCAATCAACAGGGAAACGCAAATCGATATCTCAATGAGAAGTCACTTCATATTTACTAGGATAGTTACCATAAAAAAAAAGATAGCAATGTGGGTGGGCAGAAAAATTGGGATCCTCATACATTGCTGTGAGAACGTAAAAACGGTGTGGCCACTCTAGAAAACCATTTGACTGTTCTTAAACACAGTTGGTTGCCATAAGACCCTCAACATAATATTCTTTGTAGCACTGTAGCACGGTCCTCCTGTTGTTCATTGATTTGCTCGAGCAGGCACCAGTAACATCTACATTGTGAGACTTGTTACTGTTTTTGGTATATCGAATATGCCACAGGGAGCTTGCCGGGCTCTGCTGTGCAGGCAGGATACTCTTGGTAGCAGAGAAAATGTATAAGGGGCTCTCCAAGAGGGACGGAGAAATTGAACCCGGGTCGGCCGCATGCAAGGCAAATGCCCTACCCACTGTGCTATTACTCCAGCCCAATATTCTTTTATATATAACCAAAAGTATTGAAA